ACTCCAAACATGACAGTCCGTAGAGCGACATGAAAGGTCCTGGTAATGTCTACTCTAGAGTTAGCTTCTTTTAACTTTTGGATTTACAACTTGTTCATTTTTTTTTTCTTCGTAAGGAGGCTTGGAGATCTATTGAACAACTCATCTCTTTTGACATTTATGAGTGAAAAAGTACTTTTAGTCCGCATCAAACAAATTACGTACGGAGCAACTCTAATGGTAACGGCAAAGAGTATTGGACTATTTTGGCATCTAATACCTTGATAAATAATGGAGTTGCCATTCTAAAGGAAATTGTTGTTTGATAGTTTGAATATTCATTTTTTATTTTTATATTTAATTTTTTATGTATTTTTTCAATTTTAATTTTATTGTCACACATTACAATTGTTGGAAAATTACATTTTCGTATCCAAATTTTGCGTGAAATTATCCAGATTTTATTTTTCTTACAAGCTAGTACCTAAACTTTAGTATTTTTAATAACATGCCCATAAATTTTGGTAACAAATTATATTTTAGTGCCTTTATATTTTAATTTATGTTATAGTGCTTGAAAATTTAAAATTTTATAAATATGTCCACTATATTGCTAGAAGAAATTTCGAATCACTAGTTATTAACATATATTTCAAATTCACAATAATACACTGGTAGAAATTCACTCATGAATTTGGTAGAAATTCCAAATTATTATCTAATTAGAATCCATCTAAATTATTTAATATTGAAATTCCAAATCCCAAATTGAAATCCTCTATCCAAACCCATCCTTAGTAAATGCCAAAGGTATTTTTATAATTTAGGTATAGCCTCAAAAGGTATGTGAATGAGTTATAACAGGGATTAAACATAGCTCTCGTGTAACTGGTAATTCAAAGAAATTAAACAACACTTTTCCCCACAATCTGAAATATGCATAGAAGATAAGGAACATAAGAAAGCAGAGAAAATGTGAAATAAAAGGGGGGTGTGGGGGTAGAAAAGGTGGTATGGAATTAATGAATGAGAGTTTAATGCCCTCCAACGACTTTGACAACAAAATTTCCGTGGAAGATGGCCAAACTGCACTCACCCAACTGTCAAAATGGGTCACCTCCATAAACCTCCAAATCAAGTATTAAAAAATCGTATCGTACCAACAATTGGACCAGAAAATCTTCCTACCTCGAGCGAAATTGGTAGGTGATATTTAGTGGTATAAAACAGTTGAATTATGATTAAATCACGATTTCAACATAAAATATCTATCACAAACTTTTCCGATACATACGATATCTCAATTGTTGCTCCGTACTGTCCAAATTCACCACTTCAGAACTTTCCAAGGCTACCTTCAATTTTCACCATAACACCATATATGCAACAAATCCACTACCTTCCAACTTTACTTTCCCCATCTCACACACACTACACAAAATTCTCTTCTTTTTTCCTTACACCACAGTCTATATTGGTGACAAGTGAGTGTGACCAGTTACTACTCTAGTTTAGTTGGGTCGGGTTGATAAATTGATTAAAGATGTCACTTCTCTTTTACTGTGTGGTCCAAACTAGCAATTTTAATCTTTTTTTTTTTTGGTCGGAAGCAATTTTAATCTTTAAGAAAGTTGTCTCGATTTCGTTGAAATATACAACTCTTGTAACTTTTTCATCGTTTGGTTGGTTGATTTAGTTCACTTCACATGAACATTGGCACCATGGAAGGTGATGTAGAATTCTCACAATCTAGGGTTGCATTTCGAAATTGTATTTTAACGTTTGATATTTATTACCCATATATATTAGGGTTAATACCTTATTTTGGCCCGAACTATAACTATTTAATTAATTTTGACTCGTGGTTTCAGAAATTAACATCCTGACCGCAACTATCCAGCATATAGACTAAATTAGCCCGACACATACTTTAACCGTCAATTTGGACGGTCAACACCATTGACCGTTAGTCATCACGCCATGTCATTGCCTAGTCAGCCTAAAAATTATTAAAAAATGGAAATTGAAATTATCTTTCTAATTATTATTATTTATTATTTTGAAATTAACCAAAAATTAAAATTCAAAAAATATATAATAAATTTTATGTTTTATCATTTGGGACATTTGAAAATGATAATTTTATAAATTAAAAAAAATTATCAAATTAAATTTTATAAATGTAGGAAATAGAAAAAACATAAACCAAAAAATAAATTTTCTAATTCAAACTATTTTTTAATTTTTATTATTTATCATTATCAAATTACACAAAAAAATAAATTTATAAAACAATAAAATAATTTTATATTTATTTTTTTGGTAATTTTAAAATAAAACATTTTTTAAATTATCAAAATATTATATATTTTTTAAATTACCCAAAAATAAAATGTAAAATATATTTATTTTTAAAATTTACCATTTTCAAATGTCCCAAAAGATAAAAACATACACTTTTTTATATTTTTATATTTTAATTTTTGATTAATTTCAAAATGATAAATAATAATAATTAGAAAATTAATTTTAATTTTAAATTTTAATGATTTGTAGGCTGACTAGGCAATGACATGGCGTGTTGACTAACGGTCAATGGTGTTGACCGTCCAAATTGACGGTCAAAGCATGTGTCGTGCCATTTTAGTCTATATGCATTATAGTTGATGCCATGATGTTAATTTCTGTAATCACGTGGCAAAGTTGATTATATGATCATAATTCGGGTCAAAATAAGGTATTAACCCTATATATTACCCCTCTTCCTAGTACATACTATTCTTTAAATAATAACAGGGGTGAAATTGAGTTCATATTTTTAAGTTATATGCTATTATAGTTTGGGAGTAGATCCGGTCAATGACTCTATTTTGCATAACCATTAATAACCACATGAATAATTCATGTCAGGCAAATATATTTTTCTCAATTAATTTTAACGAGTTATATATTTTTCGTTTTAAGTCATAATTTTTGCACATAAAATCATATTAATCATGATCTTCAAAAGGACATACACGTTGAGTCATATATTACTAGTCTATACCGTAGTGGTAATGTTTGGTAGTACGTAAGGTTATATTATTCTGGTGTGGATAATATCATAATGTAGTATGGTTGTATACATGATAGTAAGGATATACTAATCTTCATTTACCATTTTTAATCACTATCTACCACCAGTTATCACCCTATACCAGGATGGTATATTTAAGATCACGATGAATCTTTTACTTTTGTGCAAAAAAAAATTAAATTTTCAGTTCAAAACGAAGGTGTTACAAATTGGTTCCAATGTGGTAAATGGGTGATACGGGAAAAAAAACTCACAAAATATATTAAAATAAATATAACTTTATAGATAAAAACGAACTAGTTTCATTTGTGAAAAAATTGAAATTTAAGTTAAAAAAAATATATACAAGTTTATTAAAAGAATAAATAAAAGTTATTCTAATCTCATATCTTAAATCTAACTCACTTAACATCAAGAGCCCAAATTTGATTATACACCCAAACCGTAGTGTACATTATATAGATTGTAATACTATAAAAACCAAAGTTCAAGAAGGTGTTGAGGCACAGCCTAGCGCCTAGGTGGTGTCTATGTGACTGCGTGACGCCTTAGCATTTTAGTAAATGTAGTGGTTTTTAGTAAAAATAACAATTTTATAGTAATTTTTTCTTTAATTCAATTTTAAATGATTAATAACTTAGCTAATCCTCAACAATAATAAAACTAAGTCATGACCTAGAATTGCAATTCCAAATAGAGGAATGAGTGAAGGATGTGTTGAGCTTAGGGCAGCTAGAGATGTGTCGTTTTGGGAAGATTAGCTATAAATTTTTAACTCCTTGGTCTCCTAGTACAATTAAGCGCGCCTCACTTGGATTAATCATGCCTCACGTCGACAAATCACGTCTAGTTTCACCTAGGCGTCGTCTAGGCGTTATGAACGCCTAATTGTCCATTTAGGACCTAGACGGCGAAACATTTTGTCATTGTCTAGTGCCTAAACATTGTGTAGACTTACGCAGAATTACACCTTCTTGAACCCAATAAAAATTATACAAGAAACAGTGAAAACCTCAAAGGATTGATATAATAATGTCACTATATCCTCGAATTTTGTAACAACAAGAAAGGGAAAAAAGATATGTAGTCAATTAGGAATAACTAATACTCATCCTTCAGTGGAAAATATCTGTGGTTTCTGGAACGACAGTCCACGTGAAAGGCTTTTTGTATGTTTCATCTTAGCCAAAGATGGAGAGAGCAGGAATCCACGTTCATGATCAAACCATCCAACTAAAAACATGATAATTCACTTTGGATCTCTTCTTTTTTTTTTTCTGTTTCTTCTTTTTTGTTTATGTTCTTTATTACATATATGGCTTAAATGTGGAAATTTAAATCTACAACCAACTTCAGTCATCTCCAATCCGTTCCCCCAACTGCTTTCAGCTATTGCATTCAATGATGCATGTTACTATGTAATGTATCTCTCAGTGAAGGAACTTTCCTTCACTGTTAGGGTAAATATATGTAAGGTTTTACTTTTGGTTTGGGTGGCTGGCTACATATTTTGACTTTCGTCCTCATTCTTAATAGATCAATCGGTAAAATCTTATTTTTTTAATCCAAAAAATTTATATGTATCAAATGATGGGTCGATATTACTAACAATTAATGGATTTATCATATATTAGTTAAAGCATCAATTTTTTAATGATGCAAAAGTAATACTCCAATGTATTACAATGTTATATAGAAATTGTGTTCCTAAAATAACATGACAAAGTTAACTAAGCTTTAGCAATATAATTAGTGAATTTCGTCTTTGTGGACATAATCATGGCCTAGTTTGCTAAATCAAAGCATTTACCAATACTCTACGGCATAACGGCAGCAAAACAACGAAGCATCGATCGGGTCAACAATTCTGCACAACCGAGGAAAAGAGGGGCTACGTGTATTTGTACTGCGTTTCTGCTGCTGATAGAAAAGTTTGAGTCAGAAATGCGCATACTTCCTTGTTCAGAGGGAGCAGAGAGTAAAACTGAGGATTGGATGGACAGAAAGGAAGTACTTCTAAAAGTGCCTTTAGCTACAATGCTGCAATCAATTCAGAGCAACTGAACGGTAAATGGGTCTCGCATTTTACTGTCAAAATGACTATACAACTCCAAAAAAAAAGCCCCTCCGCAATTGAGAACCTAACCTTGAACAACCACATGTCACAGTTAAGAGATGTCCCCAGCAATACCCGAAGTTCACCGACGAAGAATACAGTACTAAGACGTGCCACTGCACACACCTAACCTTACCCGGATGAGTAGTAAATTACTGCAAAGTGTTTATATTTTATCTTTCTTTGCATCCCCAAACCATGTGGCAATATCGTCGTCATAATCATCCTCATCAGTAGGGTCAAGGGAGTTCAGCCATCCTGGGCCTTGTGGTGTATCATCGTTTTGATGTGATTCGTTGTTGCCTTTGCTTCTTCTGGTACCAACTTTGCCCCTTTCCAACATTTGCAGCTTCCACTCTTCTCTTGCTGATGGGTCGCGCGACAATGTGCTCTTACCTCCTGCAATCGGGAAATTTATGAACTTGGAACCATAGTCCCCAACTGCTCCCTCTTCCACAAATCTCCAACTGTTTCCACGTAACTTCCGATTATAGTGGTCTTGCATCGCGGGTTCGAGGTCACTCAATCCATCATTGTTGGCGGTTCTTGACCGCGTGTCCTCTTCATCTTTGGCAGCGTTGATGTGGTCAAGCTGAGTAGGCGTGCTGGAAGAAGGATTTGACACTATTGGCCGCCTATGATCACACTTCAAGCATATCATGTTCCTCCTAAAGTTTATGTAATTACACCTACAAAACGCCAGCACAAATAGTGAGCTTTATGACAAGATCATGGGAGGAAGTACAATGGAGTTGTAGTGGTTGGAAGGAGGACTCACGACTGGCATTCCCATTCCCCAGGATTCAGGTGCCTCTTTGGAGGCCTTTCGTCGCATTGCAAACATCTTGTATTCTTGGCAAAGTTCAAGAAATTGCACCTGTATAAATTATTAGGAATATGAAGAAGAGGAAGAAAACAAAACAGATTAAACCCCCACTGGCTTACTTTTGACAAATCCAATCGCCTTTCTTCAATGGAAGATGATCATGATCTTGTCTCAAATGCTTCAGCCTTTCTTCAGAAAACCCATTGCATCTCAAGCACTTGATGTTCCTAGCAAAATTGATGAAATCGCACCTAGGAAATAAAAGTTATAAAGAGCACAAGGTCTGTGAGAAAATTATATGTTTTAGGAACAATGGGTTTGCTATTTCACACTGGCAACGGATAATTTTTCAAGTATACTTGGGACAATGCCAGTCGCCTTGCTTCATGGGAACCTTTGTGAAGCCGTTTTTCCCTTCTGAATTCAAACGATGCCTCTCACTCACTCCTACTTCAAGAGTTGTGTTATTTGACCCATTAGAGTCAAGCTGCTGGCTGCCATACTCCGTCATTTCTTTCAGTAAATTCCTAGCAGAATCATTGACCATTTTGTTTTGACATGGCTTATTATCCACTGTACCAGAAACGAAATCAAGCCCATGTGTCAAAAGAATTCGCATAACATCCACAGTCCGCCCACCTTCATCTTCTCGGGCCTTTACATAGGCCCTCTCACAATCTCCCCTCAAGTTACAGGAACTACAGACCTATGAACAATGCTGGTTTAGGTTGAATGAAAGAAACAATGCAAGGTCATGAAATACAGTTGGAAACAAGATAGAAAATTTTCTGTCAAATATTATGATAAGAGACAAGGAATGGAACTCACATTTCCTTCGTTGACACCAACATGTGCACGTAGACGTTTCGCTGAGTTGATAACTTTCCTATCCAAGCTTGGGCAGCCAAACCCTGTGATGATCTGGATATCTTTCCTTGAGAAGAACCTGAAAAAAGATGTAGCTGGTGTCAAGCATGGCATGGAAATAGAAACAAAAAGACATCCTTATCGAAGGATCTCACAAAATCGAAAACAGTTTCCTTCCAAGCTAAGTCGAAATGTGATACAAAGGACGACAAACGGATATTACTGCCTTAAGTATGTTTGGATGAGAAGTGGCTTCTCACAACTCAAACTCCAGCCAAGTAGGCCGGATCAACGCCACCTCTTTAGCAGATATGATCATAACCATGTCTTGCATTATGCTACGAGGAGCAAGCAGCCACTGGTGTTTTTCAAACTCTGGCAGGAAATCACAGTTAATAGAGGATTTGCCTACAGATTGAATGGTAGAAAATGAAACTTCCCCTAACATGTCATACACCAAAACTACTAGGTATTCCATCAGTTTATAGTTTACAGTCCCTTTGATCCTTTCTCAGGTGTTTACGTCGTCTTCGTTTTATCAATTGAAGCTCCAGAGCAAGATGTGTACAGTTGTTCTATGTAAAAGTATACCCAGAGTTTGATTGCATTATCTAAGTTATCAAATAAGAGCCCAACAATCTCGGAAGTGAAATGCAGTTCCAATAACTGCTGCCTGCTTAAGCACCATGAATACTAATCCACTGAAACACACATTTGTCAGCAACCTTATCTACTTATTCTGAGGGGAAGTTTCCATCATTACAACGTAATAAAGATGTTATTCTTCTCTAGCTAGTCCAAGATCAAACTAGTGGCAGGGTTCCTTCAAAGTCAAACACTCATATACATCACAAGTAAGAACAAAAACAAGATATTGAGGAAAACGTGTACAAGTAACGATACCTAAAACCAAGCAGAAATTAGATGAATAACCAATTGAATTGACAATACCTTATAAGCCCAAACTGATCACGAGCAAAGTTAAGGCATGCTGTTCTGATGCTGTTGGTCTCCTTGCCACCCAGATCCTCACTTTGAAACGGATTGCCATCAGCCTCAAAGTAGCCTCGCCTAAACAACAACTCCATCAGATCCACCCACTCAGGCCATGGGTGTGAAATATGAAATGCCTCTCCATTCCCCTTACTCTGTTCACTCTGATCTGATGAAGATTGCTGGGCTATATGGTTTCTCGGTTTCGATGAATTGAGAACCTCAGTTTGGCTGGAAAATGATTGCAGATATGGAACACACACGCTAACAGCGAGCTTATGGGTCCGTAAATACATAGATACAAGACCAGAGTAGCCTAACTTAAACATTATGGATGCCACACTTTAGATCATTCTTTTGTCCAGTTTCTGCAAGCCATAAACCCTTTCTAGTTTCAGAGGGCTTCTACTAGTCACGAAAGTGTAGTAAAAATCAGATGCCAACCAATGCATCCAACTCCAAATTTATGATCCACAAAGAGGTTGCTCCTATGCTTGGATGCATGAACCTTCAAAAGAAATGTAATTTGGAGCTTTATTCAACGTAAGAGATGAATTCTGTCATGCAGAAATATCAAACCAACACTTGCACAATTGTTCTAAACCACATTTGCAAAGCAACACCCAAAATATCTTTATGCTATACAGTGGCAGTAGACATTTTCATTGATCCCAGCATATGAATCAATCATGAAAAGACCCAGGTAGCAGTCGTATCATTAAAGCAGCAGTGATTAGAATAAACAATTGCACAGCCTTCTCGAAACCAACCAACCCACATAAAAAAAACAAACAGAAAAAAGAGGGGAATGAAAGAAGTAATTCCATGCGAGCAATCGAACCCTCAAATTTCACTGAAGCTGAAAATGGACGTTGAGATTTGATTAGTCGAAGCCAGCCCAGAATCATGGACGCAAACGAGCGTCAAATTGTCTCAAATTAAATTAATAGAAGTTCGTACAAGAAAAGTACCGAAGGCTTACTGAGTTTAGTTCGGTCGTTTCGTTCTGGGCTTCTGGCGGCTCCAACTGGACTTCAATACTCCACCGGCGGAACGCCAAACTGTTCTCAGAAAGAAAGGAAGAAAAACCCGAGCTGCGGCAGAAGAAGAAGAGTTGGGGATCCGCCGGGGGAAGACGAGAATCTCAACTATGGCTGGGAATCCGGTACGGGTTTTCCGGTCATACCAAAAACCGGCCAATTTAACTGTTGCGGTTGTGACCGAAACCGCATTTCCATCAACCCAATCCACTTTGCGGTTATAGTATTCGCACAAAAAATCATCCCCGTTCGATCTGGTTAAAACCGAGAAAAAACAGGATAATACAAAGCCGAGTCCACCCCAGCCTGAGCCTAGCCCACCTCTCACTCTCAACTAGGGCTGGAAGTTTGGTACCGGTATTTGGGATATACCGAATACCGTACCGAATTTGTCTATATTTGGTATTACTGAATACACGTATTATTTTGTGGGATTGGGATTGAGTTTCAATTGTTATTCGGTATTAGAGATTACGGGATTGAGATCGGTATATACCGAAATACCGATCAATACCGAAACAGAAGCTAGTGTGTATATTATTCTCTCTACTAGACTCTCTCATTCACTACTACGCGACCCTCAACCACCAAGAGTGTCATTTAATTATACATAGATCATTACATCACTATTTCACACTAGTATTAGTCGTATCTCAACCTCAAATTCATCAAATTAAAGATTACCAATTACACAAACTTGAGATGTTAGCTCTAGGCAACTCAAGACGCTTTGCTTAGTCTCTTTGCCCTAAATTAAACAATAAAATCTAATTTATATATTTAATTATTAATTGCAAAGGTAATTAATTTTGTATTTGATAATACCGATTGGAATACCGAAATATTTAGGGATTGGGATTGGGATACCGAAATTATTTAGGGATTGGGATTGATTTCAGGATGTAATTCGGTATTCGGAATTTCGATATTTGGTATTGAAATACCGATACCGTACCGATTTCCAACCCTACTCTCAGCCGAGACCCCAACCCCCATGACTTTCCTCTATATTCTCTCCCTCTTTAACCCTCAAACTCTTCTATCTTCTTTCTTCACACTTTGAAGAAGATGAAGAAGAAGAGAATCCAAGCTCCTTCGTCGGCCAATCACCTCCCTCCATCGCATTCTGTGATTCCCGACGGCGACCAGCCGATAGCCGGCCATCGCTACTCCGCCACCAGAACTCTCCAATCGCCTCCTCCATCGTCCATCTCGTCCGATCTGACCTCCATCGTCCATCGCCACTCTCACTAGCGACTCACCTCTCCCCCTAACGCAAACCAGCTCTCCTGTATTAGAGAAATAGAATAAACAATTATTTTTGTATTCTCTTTGTATTTAGTTAGTGTCCAATCCCCATGTACCCACTACTCAACATCCCTGTAAACTCTCCCTCACTCTGTAACAAACTCCTCTGTAAATCTGTATGAAGTACAAACTGAATACAAGGCAAAAGACCGCGTTTGATTGCCTTTACATTCTCTCTACTGAAATTCTTTTACTCTAATATGGTATCAGAGCTAGCAAAGATCAGCTAGTATCGATCCAATTTTCCTTCATCCTTCTTCTTTCCTCTTCGGTTTGTCACACGCTGTTCTCCGTCAAGATGTCAGGCAGCTCTGAGGTTCTCAACACTGCTACCTCTGTAGAAATCCCTTCAATCGTCACATTCAATCCTGCCGCTTAGCTCCCCTTGAAGCTCACGCCGACCAATTTCGCCTCCTGGCGCTCACAGCTTGAGACTCTGCTTATGGTTATTGATCTCGTTGGTTTCATCGATGGCACTGTCGTCGCTCCTTCTCCCACAATCACGGTGGAGGGTGCCACAAAACCCAACCCAGCCTATCAATACTGGTTTCATCAAGATAAGCTCATACTCCATGCTTTACGTTGTTCGATCTCTGAATCGATTTACTCCTTTGTTTCTGCTGCATCTACATCACGTGTTGCTTGTTGATTCTTGAGAAACTTTATCCAAGCAATGCCCAGTCTCATATTATCCATTTGAAAGTCAAATTGGCCAAAACTGCAAAAGGCGACCGTGATGTTCTGCCATTTGTGAATGATCTCAAGAGCACAGTCGTTGAATTAGCCCTCGTCGGTGCACCTGTATCCGACCTTGATTTTGTGGTATTCTGTCTTCGAGGCTTGGGTGAGGAGTACAATTTCTTTGCTACAGCCATCCGTGCTCGGGGACCTTGTCCTGGCCTGGAGGATCTGGTCGATTCGCTCGTTGAATATAAAGCGGATCTCAAACCACAACAGAAGACCTCTGTTCCTACTGCATTTTACTCCCACAGCGAGCGCCATGGAGGCGGCGACTCTTTTTTCCCTCGCTCCTAGCGCGGGTCGTCATCCTTGCAGAGCCAGCGGGGTTTCTTTTTAGCCCATTCTCCGCGGGCCTCTTCTCAGCGTGCTGATTTTCAGTGAGCCAAAGCCCAGTTTTGCATTAGGATTCTATAGGACCGCACATAGCAGTTAAAATCGGGATTTTACCTAAAATCGAAAACTGGGGTAAAATCGGAATCATAAAATCGGATCCTAAAATCGTAGAATTTTAAGTACCATATAGAACTTAACATATAATGATAGTAATAAGTTAAATCATTGATAACACAAAGGCACGTAACATTTAAAATGATAATTCTCAAGATTTTTTTACAGCAGATAATTCTCAAGATTAATGTTCCAAAATCACTATTTTAATTGTTATTTAATGCGTAACTCAAAATAATTCATGATGAACGGATAGAGCTCATGGGATTTGGCTCTTATTTTCATGTTATGTCTAGGTAGTTTAACTCAAAGTAATATTCTGACATCGTCTACTAAGTATGATTTAAAACTAAAAATAATTGAACTCCAATAAAATAAGTAATGCTAGTGGCTTGGTACAAATATATTCATTAATAAATTAATTAGTTAATCATGATGCTAATTTTTACATACTTCCAATATTAGGACAATTGTTTTACCAATAAGTTAAACAGGGCGAAGGGAAAGGGATTAATCGAGCCCTAATTTGATTATTTTTATTATTTTTAAAAAATTTTATAATAGAAAAAATATCTGAGAAGATTCTCGTCATTGCCCTTTCCGCCGAAACAGTTATGCTTCTTTTAAATTGGCTCAAACCACCTATTTTGTTCTCATACGATCAAACTCCCGATTTTTGTACGATTTTATGATTTTAACGATTTTAATCCCAATTTTAAGGTCCGTCGATTTTATAGTAAAATTAGGATCGGAATCCCTAAGTAAAATCCTACGATTTTAGGATCAAAATCGCGATTTTGACTGCATTAGGACCGCCCTGAACAACTTTCTCCAATACTCGCCGGCAGCCCATTATTTGTCAATACTGCGATTGTCCAGGTCATTTCGTTCGTCAGTGTTTTAAGCTATTTCCCCAGGCTCGTCAAGCTTATCAGGCTTATCAAACTCAGGCCCATCACACCATTGCTAGCCGTCCTCCTCCATCTAGCCTGTGGCTACTTGATTATGTGTCTTCTCATCATGTTACCTCCGATTTAGGGAATTTATCCCTCTATTCTGATTATAGTGGACCATATGAGATTCTTGTGGGCGATGGCACAGGTTTGAAAATAACACATATGGGATCTACTACATTGAATCCCTCAACATCTTCTTTTCAATTACAAGATGTTTTATGTGCTCCTGCCATCAAGCGCAAACTTATCTCTGTTGCCAAACTTTTCCATACTAATCCCATTTCGGTGGAATTTTTTGTTGATTGTTTTGTTGTGAAGGATCTTCGCACGAGGCGCCACTACTGAAAGAGGCAAATAATGAGAATGTTTATGAGCTGCCTGCCTAGTGATGTGGATAATGTTTGCCTTGTTCTTGTTACCACTCGTACCACCTCTACATCTTGGCATGTGCGCCTTGGTCATCTTTCCACTCAATCACTCACTAGTCTTCTTCGTTCTCAATCTTTGCCAGTATCATCCTCTCTCGTCAGTAGTCATTGCAATTCTTGTCTTTCCAATAAGAGTCGCAAACTTCCCTTTGCAGTTTCTTCTCTATCCATCATCGGACCATTTGATTTATTATATACGGGATGTTTGAGGACTGGCTCCGGTCTCCTCCATTGATGGTTTTTCGTTATTATTTAAGTATCATTGACCATTTTTCCCGCTATACATGCTATTATCCCCTAATAAATAAGTCTGATGTTCTTAACGTGTTTCTTGATTTTCGCAAGATGGTTGAAAATTATATTTCCACCACCATTCACCGAATTTACTCTGATGGTGGTGGTGAATTCCAAAAAATATGCTCTAATCTTGTCCATCATGGTATCAGCCACCTCCTTACACCGCCTCATACACCTAAGTATAATGGTCTTCGCCGAGCGCAAACATCGCCATCTTCTTGAAACGGGTATCACTCTTCTGCATCATGCTAATCGCCCTACCACTTTTTGGTCCTTTGCCTTTTCCACCGCCACTTATTTGATTAATCGCCTCCCATCTTCTGCAGTTCGTGGGCCTGGCTCCTCCTCCGTCGATCCTCTCGCATCACACATATCGGCTACTGGGCCGCCATCCTCGCCTGGGCCCGTGCCTGCTTCTTCTCTGTCTGCTGGGCCGTTCTTGTCCCCCCATGGGCGACCCACCTCCACTGCTCCAAGGCTTGAGAACTCCTCGCCCTTGCCTAGTGTTGTGCACCCAGCTGGGCCGCCGTCTCTGCTTCGCTCCCACCGAATGACAACCATGGCCCAATCTTGTATTTACAGGCCCAAACGTCTATTTCAGGCTAATCTCACCACTCGGAATCACCCTCTTGAGCCCCGTTCGGTGAAGGAAGCAATGCAATATTCTGAGTGGGACGCGGCTCTTCGCAAGGAACATTCGACCCTTCTTTGCAATCACACGTGGGATCTTGTTTCCCGACAGCCTCACTTTAATGTTCTCGGCAACAAATTGGTCTATCGTATCAAGCACCACTCTAATGGCTCTATCAACTTTTTAAGTGTTGCCTGGTTGCCAAAGGCTTTCTTCAATGCCCTAGTGTGGATTTTTAAGATATGTTCAGTCCTGTCCTGTGGTGAAACATGTTACTGTTCGTACAGTTTTCACTCTTGCTCTCTCTTAGAATTAGCCGATTAAGCAGTTTGACATCAATAACGCATTTCTCCTAGGGCCTCTAGATGATGAAGTTTATATGGTACAACCTCCTGACTTT